CACCTCAGTTGTTCCACTATGTTGGTTTCATCTGAGGTGTGTATATTTATATTACAAACCCAACTCATACTTATATCTACTCTACAGTATATTGACTTACATCTATTTACAACAGGTAGAGTATCTAATTTTCAGTTGTTCCACTACGTTGGTTTCATCTGAGTATATTGACTTACATCTATTTACAACATTGCACCCTAGCAACCATCATCATTCTGATGATGCTGATAGTTGGTGATTTCATACCTACTTTTTGACATCTTGACATGACAGACAGCTTGATTGGTGCTGCTAGGTGTCGCCAAGGTCTGATTGACATTTTCCTGTATAAAAGATTGTTTGTTGTTGTTTACTTACCCAGTTCCCCGCTTTGGCAACCTTTGGTCACCAATAGCAACTTTGCTTATAACTTATTATATATACTGTACTTATACACTGCCAATAACAAGTTACCTTCACTCCCCATCCCTTACGCTTGGGCTTCAGAGCTCAATTCAGTCCCTCTTAAGCTTACTCTATGCCAAGGTGCCATTTTAGCGCTTTGTTTTTCCACTGGGAGTATGCCAGTGTCCTAGTTCAACTATGCGCCTTGCACCTATGGCAGGCTTCTAGTGTTTGGTGGCTATGCTAAGCACCATCCTCATAAACCCCTTACTGCTGTCCTTTGCTAACTAGTCTTCTGGGACCCTGCCTGGTTCTCCTCCACTTAGCAAGCCTGATGCTATTCCTTCATGCCTAGTGACTGCCTACCCAGACACTACTTGGTACAATTTTGGGTGTCATCAATGCTTTATTTTAGAACACCTCTGACAGCACCAGCTCTATCTCAAATCAGAGGAGTGTGAGTTTAAGCAGATCCAGATCAAGTATTTGAGGCTGATCATCTTGCACAGAACTACAGAAATGGACCTGGTGAAGGTAGCAGGTGTGGCAGAGTGGCCAGAGCCCAAGAACAAGAAAGAGGTGCAAGCCTTTCTAGGCTTCACCAACTTCTATCAAAGATATCTCCTGGAAACTCTGGGAGAATGTGCATGCTCTGTGGCTTGTCAGAGAGTTCCACTGGAGACATTCAGATGCATCCCAGGCCATCTAGAGAATCTATCCAATCTTACCAGTGGACCAGGCAATCCAGAACTTCTTCTACCCTACACATCAAGATGCCACATGCTAGAGGGGCAGTGATGTCAAGGAACTTCCATTTTTGGTCTACACTGATTTCCCCTCAGGGCACTTCTCTACATTCCAGCTCGCCTCCTGCACTACTCCTTGAGACCCCTGGGGCTTGCTCTAGACCTCCAGGGCTTGCTCTAGACCTCTGGAGATTTTCAGAGATCTCCTGAGGTTGTTTCCTTTTTAGAAAACCTCCAGAACTTTCTGCACTTCCCATTCAAGCATTATCCTGGAGGGTTGGAAGACGAGCACTAAAGGTGAGAGCAAGTCCCAGGCCAGAGATTAGAAGACCATAGCAAGCAGAAGAGACTTAGTGAGTCCTGGGATCAGAGATAAGGGCATGGAGATCTAACCAAGCCAAAAAAGGAAGGAGTCAAGACGAGAGACAGAGGGGAGATGGAATAAGACAAAGACCAGAATCAGGAAGAGAGAGAAGAAGAACTTAGAGACTGGAGGTGGAGAGAGATGAAAGCAGAGTATAGATTGAGTGAAGTACAAGACAAATAAAGATGGAGAAATGTGAGACAATATGAGAGGAGTACAAAACAAGACAAACATGAGATAAAGTCAGAAATAAGAGACCAGAACATGAGACACAAGAGAAATGAGACAAAACACAAAACATCACTAAGAGCAATATCAAGACTAGAGTATCAGATACTACTCTATGACTTATATACAGTAGACAGTTGGTAGGCTGGGCAGCAGCGGCTGTTGATGTAGGTTGTGTGGTGCAAGGGAAGCTCCCAAAGGAAGGGCCTTGCTTTGGAAGCATGAGAGGCATGGAATGTCAATGAGGCAAGGAGGGAAGTGAGAAGGAGGCATAGGAGCATGGAGGTCAGATTGGAGGTGATGTGTGGCCATAATGCATGATGGGCATTCTGGTAGGAGCCAGGAGAGGCCTTGGCACAGGCCAAGGAGAGCACCAGGAGTTGCTAGAGCAGGCACTAATGTGGCAGCTGTGGTTGGGGAAGTGCCAGGAATAGCTGAGGTTGGTGCTGATGTAGTGGCTGCAGGCAGTGATGGCTGTGGGGTGCCAAGAGCAGTGGTAGCTGGTAGCAGTAATTGGTAGTGATGGCCAAAGGCTGCCAAGGAGTAGTGGTGATAGTTGCCAAGGGGTTAGTTGTGTAGTGGTGATAAGACCCAGATTGTATCAAAAGGCATATTGATGTTTTGACTGGCACAGCTGTGTGGACTAGTGGTTAGTGTAACCTCTGGTTTACCTGGTGTCCTCCCAAAAGGCTCAGGGTTTGAATCCCTGAACAAACACTTATCATATTTTTTCATTATTATTTTTGATTTATTTTACCTTACTTTCTTGACCCCAAGGTTTCACCAGCCTTGCCGCTGCACCCTGATAACCACCATCATTTCATGATGCTGACATTTTGGTGATTTCATACTTACTTTTTGGCATCTTGACATGACAGACAGCTTGATTGGCACCGCTAGGCATCGCCAAGGTCTGATTGACATTTTCCTATATAAAAGATTGTTGGCTATTATTTACTTACTCAGTTCACCACTTTGGCGACCCTTGAGTTGCCAACGGTGACTTCGCTTATTTACTATATATACTGTACTTATACTCTGCAAATAACAAGTGACCTTCACCCTTTATCTCTTACGCTTGAGCTTCAGAGCTCAATTTTGTCTCTCTTTTGAAGTTTACTCCATGCCAAAGTGCCATCATACAGTGCTTTGTTTTGCTGCTGGGAGTTTTCCAGTGTCCTAGTTCACTATGTGCCTTGCACCTACAGCAGGCCTCTAGCACTTGGCACCTATGCTGAGCATCATCTTACCCCTCCCTTACTGCTGCCTTCTGCTAATTCATCTTCTGGAACCCTGCCTGGCTCACCTCCACTAACAAGCCTGACACTATTAGCCTTGTGATTGCCTACCTAGACACCACTTGGTACAATTTTGGGCGTCATCAGCGGTTCAGGCCTGGGACATTGTAGAGCTGGTTTGGGGAGGTGGAAGTCCCAGGACTGGAGCTGGATACCAGAAGTAATTGGTGGGTCATGACATTGCCTCAGTTTCAGAACATGTGCCAATCAGCCCACCACACCTACAGCCATCATCATTACATCCAGCAATCTCCACGACCATTTTTTTTCATCAGCATGCTTGGGGTGGATATCCATTTTGCATGGTACTACATACAGAGTGCTACTGCTACAAGAACTATGGAATGCTATGCCCCTACATATATGCAGAAAATGAGTGGGTCAACATGTTCTAGCATTGGTTTAGTTCATGTTCCCCTAGTAATCTCTGAAAGCTGTGGAGAGTGTGTTTAATCCAGATACTATCTATTATTGCCCATTATTGCCACATCATCACTCACCCCAGCAATCTCTGGTGCTTCTTTCAGATGCCATCAATGCTTCCTCTCAATCATTATTGGGCCCCCCATCACACATCACAGCCCACACATCACCCATCATCTTTCCACATCATTCTTCCTAATAGGTCATATTGTTCAGATTCTAACACACACAATCAGAACTAACACCCTCCAACCTTTGACATTCCCCAAACCATGCTTAGAGTCTCAGTGCAGTATTCTGACTCCAGAGTTGATACCTGCAGCCCTAAAGCTTACCTTACCACTTATAGCAATAGTGTAGAACTTGATACAGTAGTCCTGATATTACCTTTACATCTATTACTTGTGTACCCAATTTCATATTCTGTACTTCTCTGTTTTTGTTCTGTCTCTGTTTTATTATCATCCTGTATCTTCCTATATTTCTCTTGTCTCTTACTTGTCTTGTACTCTGTCTCTATTTCTTCAATTCAACTTCTTTTCTCCACTCTCATCTTGTTTCTCTCATCTCAATTGTATCAAGTTACCTGCTTCGACTTCTCTGTCTCAAGTTCCAACTTTTTCTGTCTTCAGCTCAAATTTTCTCCACATTCATCATCTAAGCTTTGACTTAGACACATTTTGCACACTTTGCTTACAACATATGAATCTAATGCTCCTTCATGCCTTTTTATCACTTTGACACCTACTCCAAGACTCATCTACTTTTACTCACAGTTTCAAGACTTGTGCCTGCTTTGGTTTTATCATCCGAGCACTTGTTTTTCAAGTGCATTCACGCCTTGGAGTATTTTGGTGCTCCTCCACCTCATCTTGTTGTTTCTCCAGCCTTGTAACTTGGTTTTCACACTTGGAACTCATGATAAGCTTTTGCTGTACATGTAGCACATCATGTATACTTAATAAGGACTTGCCCAGTGACCTGAGTCCTTTTAGTCAGTGGAACCTGACATTTCCTGACAATTAATCAATCAGTGGTTGTTATAATATGAGTTCATCTTCACAAAACGACAAAACATTAAGATAGTTTTTAGCTACTGTAAGTAGTTATTGCATAGAAATTGTTATAGTCAAAATACCACAATGCATGAACAAGATAATATGATTGTCTAATCACCTCCTAAAACTTCATTGGATACCAATTTGCCACAAATTTTGTTCAAAGTGGTAGCCAAATAGATTCTAAATAGAGAGATAAGGATGGATATCAACCAAAGATTATGCAGTTACGTGATTAATTAATGTCTCATCAAGGCTGCATTGGCATCTTCTATGATAAAGAGTATTTTGATGGAGGTTGATAAAGATTAAAAAGAGCTGATATTTACCCCATTGCAATAACTGAATCATCCTCAGCATATCAAGACATGTTATTAAACAAGAACATGTGATGTATTGGTTGAGAACTTCCTTCAATAATAATCAGCCGATTGCAAAATACAGAGTTGGTGTTGTTCAGACTGAAACTCAAATTGAATAAATTGATTATTCAAAAGATTGACCCCTACCTGATTTGAACAGATGACTTTGTGGAAGCTCCAATAGATGAAGGCTGGAATCACACACTCTACCACTGAGCTAAGGGGTCTTGTGGTTTTACCAGAGTTATATGAAACATGATCTCTTTTAGCTAACCCTTCTTGCTTACTAACTCACATCTGCATGACTCCTACATTTTCTATAGAGTAAGTCCTTCTTCTAAGTTTACACTTGTAATCCAGAAAGCCTCACATTGCTTATACTGTATTCATTTCTTTTGATCATAGGCTTTCCATGGCAATATTTCACAACCCAGCTATTTTTTCTCGCCTCAAACATGTCACTATGATTCTTCCCATAAAAGGGTATACGAGCTGAGTATTTGGAGCAAGTGATAACTTGCCTTGCTTCTATCAACCAGAAACACTTTTATTAAATCCACAAACCCAGATCTTTGGAGCCAACAACAACTCCCAAACTATTAGTGATGATACATCACTAGACTGTTCCTGAGTCTATATACACTAGGTAGTAATGATACATAAGTAGTTAGTTCTAAGTTTCTCCTTTCTTACAGCTTGCTTTCTGTTATTTTGCTCAAGTGAAAACATGAGCAGTTATAATAAAGACCGGAAGGACTTTCAATTCAGTATACACTCGTTGTTATTGTTTAAACTATACTCTACATTCTGGTCACTTAAAATAGTCACCACATCGGAACAACATTCTCTGACAGGTTTATCGGGGTCAGAATTCGGTTCTCGCAGTACAAGAAGACCAGAACATTCTCATAGGACAGAAATGTCATGGGAAGGATCGGATGATAGAGGCTAGAAGAGGGTATAGAATATCAAACATTGAGAAGGTTCCATAATCATAGATCTTGTTTAATTTAGAGAGCCACACGAACCCTGAGTGGCAGTTGCGCGCCCTTCTCCACCTCACCCCCAAGTGTCGGGACCATGATGAGAACTGATTCCCTGCGAACCCTCTTTGTCTCGGGTGTTGTGGAGAACTCCATATGTCCAATGATCTCAAAAAGGAAAGCTTGAAGTTCTGCGTAGGCGAATTTCCAGCCGATACATGCGCTACTCATGGAACGGTGCATTCAGAGACGAAAATGGAAACCGCCGAATCGAAAGGAGGAGGAACAAATGCATCCGTCAGATCCATGCAACAGGCCCCTCACATATGACACTCACCGTATACCACCTGAGAAAGTCAAACTGGGAGGGGTAAGGTAAAACATTCATCAATCACCAAGGTCGAAGACGTGCAAGTGAAGTCACGTACAGATTGCCGATAACACCGACAGACGTTGATTTCTTGATGCCGGAGTCAAGCCACCGATCTGGATTGTACTTGTCTGCATCGTAGCCAAAGATATCTTTGTTCCTGTACAGCCGACGAACACGTCAGCGATCCGACCAGAGAATAGACGCACAGGTACCCGAGTCGGAGAGGGCAGGGACTAGATACGGGTACTCATGTCAAGCGACGCAAAGAAATGCACTAACCGATTATAGCCGTTGATGCTGGACATAATCCGGAGACCCTTCGGGATTGGAAGCTCTGTGATTACTTCACCTGTAGTGGTAGTGATGGGCTTTGAGAGGGGAAGCGCATCATCCCGGCCCGCATATCTGTACGTATTCACTGCTGCAGGGTGATACCTGAGCGTTTCCTAAATTCGGGTTCAGACACTTCGCTCCAATCATCACAGCGGCAGCGGATATTCGGAATCGGACTGACCTTCAGAACTGCATTCAAGTATGGCATGGAGTCCAGGTCCGTTTGGGTGTACGCGCTTTGGCCGCGGGACTGCAGAGTCTGTTGCACCTGCCTGATTTCAGCTCTGAGCTTTGTTTGGACATCGGGGTGGCGCGACAGTTCAAGTAACATCCAACTGAGCGTGTTGGAAGTTGTATCGTGCCCTGCAAGGATGACAACGCTTTGTGGAACGACCAAATGTCAAGAATTCAGTCAAGTACATTGTTCTTGTGCACTCACCGCATGAATCCCATCATCTCTTGATCGTTCAATCGGAATCTTTCCTCTTCACTTGAGTTAGCTTCAACTGTTTAAAGGGAAATGGATGAATATCGCATGTCGAACGAATTGCTGCTTGAAGGCACACCGAGCCGACTCATAATATCTTTCCCGTGACCACGTCCTTCTGACTTCTGGGCAAGCAAGCCTTTGGCGGTTTGAGCAGAGAGTTTGGCCGTATATTGAACATGTTGAAGCCTTTTTACGGGCAAGTGATCGCCGATCCATTCGCGTATACTCCTAGGTATGTAAGCGATGAAATGTTGCAAAAAGATCTGCCTTTTAGTCGGTTTTTGAAAGAGTCCCAAACTGCACGGATTCAGAGGTTATCTTCTGTGGGGCCGGGGGCGGGGGCGGGGGACGGTGACCGGAAACATTGACTTACAGCAGAGTTCCATAAGCTTTTCCGAGCTCATTTTTACCGTGTTCCAGAGTTTGAAACCTATAATCAAAAGCCACTAGATTCACCGTGTTCAGTGTAACTATGACCTAAAGACTCGATGAACATACCTTCTCCAATGGCATCCAAGGTGCACCGTGAAGCCCATTGCGGAACATTGATAATGGTAGAGTCCTCCCCACTAGCCGAAATGAGATCTTTCCAGCTCTTAACCATCTTCGAGTGGTGATTAGTCATAAACATCTGAGATTATCATTTTCATACTTACCCTTGCTGCACATGCCGAGAAGACTGGTTGATAGAACCTCGCCTCTGGTCCAGAGAACCCAGGTAACATGATTTTTCGTTGTCGTTTGTGTGTTTCACCTAAGATTCAAAGATTTTAGAATAACACAAGAATTGGAGTTCGTGTATAAGTGCACCATCTGCCCAAACAATGCTTTTGCCGCTTGTGAGGCGCGATATTTCCCTGCGTTCTGGCAGTTTGGGGAAATGGTAGCCTGAAGTCTGGTAGATATACTGGAGGGCTTTAGCATCGGAAATGAGGAGACGATCTTCCTGGTTGACCAAAGTGCTTTAGAGGAAGTAAGAAGAAGCTGAAGCGCGTGACTCACGCCAAACAGTGCTTTGATTCTGACAATATCTCCGTATTTGGCCTGCCATTTGAATATCGTCTGGAGATATGACCATTCGACAAGACACCTGGTGGAACATGAGGTGACTGACCTCTGCGGCCTGGCCTTGAGAAAGTTGTACAAGATTTCCTGTTGACATCGATGTTGGCATGGGCAACAATTTACATGCGAGCGAAGGAAGAAGACAATACCAAAAATGAAAGACGGCGATTCCGGACCAGGTATATGAGCAACAGAGATACGCTTCAGGCGTACATATAGACGATACAAGATGGCCGATGTGAGGACACCAAGGAAAACATAAGATGTTGAGATACTCATTGGTTGGGGGCAATGGGAACTTAGCAACGTCAACTGACAGTGGCTCTTATAGAAGGTCGCAGAGATATTCTTAAAATGGAAGACCAGCCCTGAGAGAAAGTTGTATGCATTCATGAGTTATCCGGCTTGTTTACAAGGACGGTGGACTTCGGAGGAGACCATATATGTTTATAGGATGTACAGATTGAGTAACGTTTCCAGGCATCTGTGTATCTTTATGTCCGTCATCGGCGTATATTTGCTTCGCTGATGACCAAAGACGACTTCTTTTGTCGCTCAAGCAGATCGAATGCGATAACGCACCTCACGCGGTGAAATCCCGTGGATATAGAGAATTGTCATATGCTAAGATGCACGAGTTAATATGAGTAAGTACATCGGAACCAGGTCATCAAAGAGCTTATCAGATGTCGACAAAGACGCGGGATGAACAAGGTCATTCACAGCAAACGAGAGGAGTAGACCGTAGGAAGGAGATACCGAAACAGAAAGACCCTTGTCGTTTGTTTTTCGCAAGTCCGGTTTCTAGTTTTAACCTGGGAATTTCTGTTCAGAGGTAACCCGGCTGGCCTGGTTCCGGGCTATGACTTGAGAAACTGGGAGAAAACTGACCCCTCGTATTATTGGACACGTGACGGGTGTTTTCTGCGACCTTTGTCCCGATTAAGCTTCACATGGAATTTCTCTCCCAGACTTACGTCGCACTCCGAGGGCCTACCGGCGCTCCTCAAACGCCCCAGGACACCATCAACAGGCTCAGCGATCGTCTCTCGCCGGCCGCCCTTCTTGCTGACCGAAGAGCAGCAGTACTAGCCTTGAAGGGGCTTTCTCGTGATTGCAAGCGCGATGTCGGTGATCGCGCGCTCTCTGGTCTCTTGGAAGTGCTTGCAAACGATGCTGAAGTGGATGCAGACATAGGAAAGGCAGTTCTGGAAACTCTCCAACTTCTTTGTGACACGGAAGACGGAGATGTAGCGTCGAAAGAGCTCGGATTCAAGTACACAGACCAAGTGCTGACAAACGAGAACACGACTCATACATTACTCTCCCTACTCGGCGATCAAAACTTTTATACGCGCTTTGCGACATTGCAGTACCTTTTGACTCTTTTGCACAACAGACGTCAATTGGTGCAAGGTTACTTCCTCAAGTCACCTAATGGCACTCGAAATGTTGTGTCTGTGCTTGAAGACAAGCGAGAGATTATTAGAAACGGTCAGTACCCCATCCGAAATATGAATCGCTTTCTTCTTCAATTTTCTACCTGGATAAAATGGTCGCTCATCGAGCTTGCAGAGGTAATTGCCCTGGTACAGGCATTAATATCGCAAAGCCCCGACATCCAAAAAGTTCTTGCGTTCGAGGGCGCATTCGAGAAGCTCTTCACTATTGTGAGCCAAGAGGGAGGTGTTGAAGGCGGAGCTGTGACGAGTAGTGCTTTGACTTGTGTCGATAGTTTACTTCGGTTCAATTCTTCCAATCAAGTAAGTCATCTTTTGTCATCTTGAGATGTCGTTCACAAGATGTGTTTAGAGTTATTTCCGTGAAACGGCGCTTCCACCAGTCCTATGTTCTCTTTTGCTCTTCCCGCCGAATATCCATATTCGTGATTCTGCTCCCCAAGAATTTGCGCTACAATTCTGGGACAATCAGAAGCAACATAACGCTTCACTGGTGGTAGGTATAATCGGAATGCTCGTGGGA